CCCCGCCCCCCTCCACCGGCCACCCGCCTCTCTCCCCTCCATAACAACAATAACAAAAACTTGTCTCGGATGTGGTTTGTTCGGGTTACAGGTGTCCTTCAGCGCGAAAAGAGTGATTTAAAGCACATTTTTTTCACCTTTGAGGACAACAGCCTGTGCGCCACGGAGGGGACATTTGAAGCAGTACGATAAATGGCGCACAAGCGACCCCCCATGTGAGGCTCCAAATGTCAGAGTTTACAGTGGGGTCAAAGTAAAGCAATGGGGTTTCCCGATAACATGCTGATAAAACCCCAAGCAGGCTTCTGTGTCATTGAAAGACCTCCAAACGTCCTCGGAAAACATGACAAAAAAGGTGCATTGGAACCTTCAAAGTGGAATAAAACACCCGCTGTGTAAAGCTTTGCAGCAGAAGCATAGCCAATTGAATATCTTGTACGCGTTACATCTCTAATGCACTTGATTTTAGAGTCTGCCTCCCTCAAGTGTCTCCAGCTGGTCCAAAATACTGCTGCTCGCCTCCTATCTGGAGCTCGTAGGAGGGAGCACATGACTCCAATTTTGGCCTCCCATCATTGGCTCCGTGTACAATTTAAAATTCCATTCAAGACTTTATTTGTATTTAAATAATTAAATGGTCTCGCCCCACCTTACTTTCCTGAGCTCCTTCACCTCTTCGTACCTGCCTGGTGCCTCAGGTCAGTGGAACCAGACACGACAGGAGTTCACGAGGACTAAGCGGAGGCTCAGAGCCGATTGAGAATTTTGCAACTCGCCCCCCCCCCCCCCCTTGGGAATGGCCTTCCATTAAATGTTAGGCAAGCCCCCTCGCTGTCCATTTTTAAAACTCGTCCGAGAACATATTTTTATTCTTTCGCTTTCGACTCAGCATTGTTTCAGTGTTTTAATGTGTTTATAGTTTTTATGCTATTTATTCATTATTTTACTGTCTTTGTTTTAATATTGTAAGTCTGATTTTTATTTTATGCACAGTACTTTGTATACAGCCATGATTGTTTGTGCTTTATAAAAGTGCTCTATCAATAAAGTTGAGTTGAAAGTTGAGTAAAAATGGTACATTAGAGGTGTGTCCGTCATTTAACAAGCCAAATCATTTCGAAGAGCAGGCAATGCGGCAGCGTGGAGTTCCCCTCGTTTAAATGCATTTGCTGGGGTGAAATGTTTCTGTCACTGCTTGGTCTTGACGTTTGTGAAGTTATTCATGTGCGGTTGATGGGTCTGCACAAGCAGGTTTTTCAAGTGTCACATCAGTGTAAACAACCATTTGAAAAGTACATGGAAATAAAAATAAGTATTAAACTGGTCTGTGGACACACACACCCGCACACGCACACACACATACAGAGCGAGTAGTTTTGCTTTATTTTAGTTGTACTTTTTAAAAATTTTATCTTGAATTGAAGGTCTGGAAAATGAAGGTCTGGAACAGATTATTTTTTGGATGAAAATTGATTTCACGAGGGAAAAGAAATGCTTGGACTTCTAAGTTCACCGGTGCCTTCGACTTTCTATGTCCCACTATTCGATTTCCCCAAATGGAGCTGCTGTGAGGTTTCCTATCTGAATTATACATAAATATAAAAGATTATACAGCGACGGCGGCAGCTGAAAGCAGTATAAATCTGCACGTCTCTAGAGAAAAATTGGACACCCTCGATTCTGCGAGCACGCCATGCCAAAAAAACTCTAAACTAAAGAGTGGCCAGCTGTCTTCTGGCCTACTATTAAATTGCTCCTTGGATGGTGGCGATATCATTTTTTTTCTCCCTCCAAAGGAGTATCCCACCAGGTCCCCAAGCAGAGCGGCCAGCTGTACGGCAAATGTGCGCTGATCCATCTGGACCCAGGCGGGCTACGACCTCCATCTTAAGACGCTGCTGTGCCCCGCCACCTTGGCCCCCTACCGCTCCCCACCCCCGCCTCCATTTTTTGAATACCTCAATCTCGAGTAGCCAGTTACTTTATGCTCCATTCACAACAGTGAACCTCAGAATGTGATATCCATGCACCAAAATGTACGGCAGAGGTTGCGCTTGGGGTGATGATCGCCTTACAAAGGCGTCTCATATGGGCATGTCCGGGTGGGGCGGGATGTGGTTCCGTTGCTCCGTACATTAGCGCTGTTCTTATGCAGGACCACATGACTATATATAGAGTTATCAGTGTGAAGTGACACCGTGGAGGAACGGGCCATGGATGAAAACAACACCCCTATGAATCCAGCGTCTGCTCCATTACCTACGCTAATAACGCTGACAGCTGAGCGGAGATGACCCAGGCCCCCCTGTTTCCCCTCTCCCGTGCAGATGGCCATTAAAGAGAGAAAGTGTCCTTTTTTTTCCACCAGAGAAGATATTTAGAGCTTTTCCAAATTAGTATTTTTTTTTTTCCCTTTTCACTGCGTTTTTGGCCCAGACTAGTTTTGCAGTGATTATAGGCTGGGTTGGATTCAACCCGCATTCATGCTAACATTTTACTTTGCTGATGCAACTTTTGCAGGATACATCTATAGGTTAACTTTCACCCACCTGGACATGGAGCTGACACCCCTCTCCCCTTTCCACTTCTGATTGAAATGATGACAACAATCTCATAACTCCACTGCTAATTATTTGGCTAATTTAATGATAGACCTCCTCTAATATATAAAAATAGCAGATTTAGACCGTATTTAATTGACTATGTTTTCGTTGTATTAATCGGTATGTGTGTGTGTGTGTGTGTGTGTGTGTGTGTGTGTGTGTGTGTGTGTGTGTGTGTGTGTGTGTGTGTGTGCGCGCGTGCTTAAGATGATACAACAGGGTGGGTCCTAAAACTATGTTTGTCACTTTAGAAAAACTCATATCTTAGGAAGTGGCAAGAGTAGCAAGATAAAGCCGGTGTTATTTGAAATGTGAAATCTTCAAGCTTTCTGTGGCGGTGGTCTGGTCAGGCCAGTATGTTACAATCAGCGTTTTTCCTTTTTTTTTTTTTTTTTTTTTTGGCGTAACAGTGAATGAGGTAGAAGGTCACGCAAACGTATGCAACACCCTGTACGATGCATTCGAAATGGAAAACCCACCAAGGCGAGTCTCTGCAAACGACTATAAAATGAAGAGCATTCTGACAGTGTCGATCAAAGGAGAACATTATTATTTTTGTAAAGGCAGAAAATAGGATACAGATCTTAATATGATACAGGTGGTCATGTCGTGGCCAGTCAGTACATGATCCTTCCTTTCTGCTCTCTGCATTTGTTCCACAGCGATGACAAAGTCACTTCAGGACAAACATTGAGCACACGTGTGGCTTTCTCCACATTTTACAAATCGTCAAACAAACACATGCGGCAGACATCCTTTTGAGGAGTTTGATGGAGCGCGTGATCACGCGGAATACAAAGCGACGGCATATCAGAGGAGTAAGACATCAGACAATAACCCAATCACCTATCCTCCTGTTATCTTAAGCTGCCCGAATTCCACTTTTACAGGGGGGAGCTGTGTGCTCATGCTGCTGAAAGACATAAAGTAACCAGTAGGGGGGTTTGTTTTCTCCCCTCCCAGTGTGCTCCGTGCCCGCCTTTGCAACAGAAAGGACTAATGCTGGCATGGTACTGTATTAGGCATCCCCAGTAGAATAGTGGGTGAGCAGATTGCAAAGATGAATACAAAACACACACCTACACTCTGGGCTCATCTCTCTCCTTTGCAAATGCACCGCGGCATCAAAATCACAAATCACATGCTTCTGATTGTTTATGCACAAACAGTGGGCCCCTGATAGAATTGCCTAGCGGTCCTGATAGAATTGCCCACCGTGTTTAAATTCACCTGCGCCTAGAAGCGTGTCCCAAACAGAGAGGCGGTTTGGTTCCAGATCAATGAGTCTCTCCCCCACTGAAGACAACAGATAATGCAGTGTAATGAAAGAGCCGCCAAACGAGCTGAATAAATGAATGAATAAAGGAACGTGAGAGCTGAATTCAGATGCCTACTTACTGCAGGTGAGGAAAAAAACAAAACTGTTTTCCAATTGTCTAGTCTTTACAAATGCTTCTGCCTGCATACTGATGAAAGACAAAGGCAACCAAAGATTTTTTTGGCAAATGCGGGTGTTAGTGTTTGTTGTCAAATGGATTTATATAGTAATCTGTCAAATGCAGTAAGCATTGTTTGACTGCATCATGTCATTTATTTATACATATAAAATTAAAGAGGTACAATTAATAATCGACTCATCGACAATCGACTATTCTATGATGTAAATAATTCATCAAAAGCAATCTGCAATTAATCATTGCCACACTTTTTAATTTAAAATGGTTAAAATCCTTGTAATTTCTGTTTCTCAACAGAAAATATGATCATATTTTTGTAGTCCTCAACGATTCAAAATTAAACATTTGCCTTTTATTTTGGAAAAAATCATCCATGTTTGCCAATTTTCGGATATTGTTATGGACCGAAACAGAAATTGAATCAGAACTTCCGTTAATTTATGTGTGTACATTTTCTGCAACCAACTGAAAATAATGTCATGTTTTTGAATAAAGGGTGGAAATATCTTTTTTACTGTGATCCAATTCATCAAATACTCAAAATAATTGACAGATAAGGATGCATGAACAAAGAAAAAAATTAGATGGGAATAGAGATTCAGACTGTCAAGATATTTTCTTCCCACTTTGAATCAATATTTGAAACATTTCAGCAGTCTCCACAAGCATGCTCACAACATTTTCGATCATTCACATGCATGGGGAAATTAAGATGACTTGCTTATGTTTATGGATGCACAACACTTGGGGATGAAGTTAAGATATTAAAGTAATTCCACCTAGTTTGTGATGTGATCCAGAAACTTGTGAGCCTAAATGAGACAGGGTCAAATATTTTATTAGATTTTTCACACTATGTGGTTCATCCTCAAAAATGATGAAATGTTCTTTTTAATTTGAATGTTTAAATGGATGATGTCGATGACGGCCTCATGTCTGTTTCATATTGCATACAGTAGAAAATCACATACATCATTTCTGACTAAAATGAATGATCAAATGGAGAATTTTGATGACGGGCTCAGAAACAAACGACTAACTGTTTGATATGATAGAAGCATGCATTTAGATAGTAGAGGCTCACACAAGCAGAAAACACAAACAAAAAAAAAAAGATCTCCTACCGAGCATATGGTTGGCCACATGAACTTGGATGTCCCACTCACTGTAGAATACCATCTGACATTTGATGCACTGGTACGTCTTCTTCTGTAAATAAGACCAAGACCATGAATTTAACCAACCTCATCATCAACGTAAAAATACAGTTCAAACAAACAAAAAAAAAGGGTTAATGAGAACAAGCCGCGATACCTCTTCAGCTTGTGATGGACTGGATCTGGGCATCGGGGACATCTGGGGCGTCTTTAGCTGTCCGCCGCCGCTGTCCCCTGCGTGTACCGTCTGGACATGGTTATGCAATTCGACCTCAGACTCAAACTTCACGTTGCAGCTTGAGCATCGTGTCTTTGCGACCGCCGTTGAGGATGCTGAAGAGGACGAGGACGACGAGGAGACGGCTTTGCCTTTGCCCTCGCCTGGGCTGAGACTCTCTCCTTGGATCCATTGAGCCGCGTTGGGCGCCGGAGTGGTGGCGCCCCCCTGTTGCTGCTGTTGTCTGCCCCCATTCATTGTTGGGCTGGAGCTCTTGGAACCGGCGTTGGCCACACATGATGCACAGAGTCCATAGGGCAGGCCGTTGATGTCCAGTTTAACCAGGTCCTGCTTTGAACGGAAATCTTTCAAGCAGGAGGCGCACTTGAAAGGCTTTTGGACGTGATGTAGCTGCTGGTTGTGAGCGATGGCGTTGCCGCGCCCAGTGGATTGGTTTGCCGACATGGTGCCGGTTTTTTGCATGTGGAAGGTCCCGTGGATCTTGAGCTCCAACGTGGAGGTGACCGTCTGCATGCATACCACGCATCGGAAACCCGTCAAGGAATTCCTCAGGTCAGGGTGCATCTGACAGTGCTCTAGGAAGTCCTCCTCACTATGGAGAGGCATCTTACAGATGCGGCAGCTGCCCGTGTCGAGACTTTTGCTGTGCGTGACCTTGTGTTCAGTCAGGGTGAGCAGAGAGGGGAAACGCTCGCCGCAGATGGGACACATGTAGTGCTTGACGGGCCCAAGGTGGGTCTGCATATGTTCCCTTAGACCGGCCTCAGAGAAGAAGGTGCGAGAGCATACGTTGCACTTGTGGTTTCCTTTGATCATTTCAGCTTTCCTTTTCATCATGGCGCTCTCACCGGGGCGAATGTTGTGGTCCCTCAGCTGGTGGTTCGTTAGAAGGGACTCCATTGTGTAAGAGGCCCCACAGATGTCACAGCTATACATGGGGTCGGCAGTCTCCACTTCTTCCTCGCTTCCGTCGTGACTGTTCTGGGACTCCACCGCAGATCCTCCTGCGGTCCCTGTACCGTGGCTGTTGGTTAAGAGACTTTGCAATTCCGCTTCGTCTTTGGGATGGGCGTCCGCCCCGCCGACAGCAGAGCCGTTAGCGCGGCAGTTCTGCGCCTTTCCCTCAAACACGCAGTGTTTTTCCCGCAAATGTTTCTCCAGCAACACAATGGCATGGAAGGCCTTGCTGCAGAAGCGGCAGTTGTACTTCTTGCTGTGGGTGGTGATGTGACACTGCAGCTCCACCTCCGTCCCGAATGACTCCCCGCAGAAGATGCAACGATGGGATCGGCCTTGGTTTTCCAGGTGGCTGTGTTTGACGTGCAACTGCAGGTCGGTCTCGTGCCTGAAGTCCCAGTTGCAGGAGGTGCAGCGGTACACCTTCTTCTCATTGCTGTGCTTCACGGCCAAGTGGAGCTGAGTAGACACCTTGGAGTCAAACACCTCCTGGCACAGAGTGCAACGAAAGAATACAAAGGTGTGCATGTCCAGCAGGTGCTTCTGCAGGTCATCCACGGACGTGAACTGCTTGTCACAACTCTCGCAGATGTAATACGTGGAGGTGATTGTGAAGTGAATGGTGACATGCTTCAAGAGGGACTCTTGGTTTGGGAACTCTTTGTTGCACTGCGGGCAGGTGAGTTGAGGCTGCAGGCCGTCCAGGTGAGTCTTCAGATGAGTCTGGAAAAGATCTAAGTTGGTATACTTAGCCCCGCACTGGTTACATATGAACTCGCCGGAAGAGCGTGTGGCCGAGGCGCCTTGCTTGAGCACGGACGCTTGTTCTACCGTTATTGGAGACGAGGGGCTGAGAGCGTGCAACGTCTTCTTTCCATTATTGATGTAGTTGAGTGCAAGGGGAATGTTCTTGTGATTCTCCTTGATGTGCTTGTTGAGCTTCAGAACACTGTTGAATATGGGTGAATTTGTGCAGTACGAGCAGGAGTATACCTCTACAATGGGCTCCTTGGGGGTGACAGCCAAAGGAGAGTCGAAACGCAGGCTACCCCCATCACAGTGAGTCTGACGAACATGCTCTTCCAAGGTCGTCTCTGTCAAGAAACCCATGAAGCACTGGGGACAGAAGAAGGCGTTGCTCTCCTTGGCCACAGGACTCGGAAAGCCATGGGAACAGCGGATATGCTCCTGCAGGGCGTTGAGATCATTCAGGATCTCGGGACAGAAGTTGCACTGAAGGAGAGAATCCGAAAAGCCGGTGAGCAGGGCTGCGTGGCCTTCGGCATTGTGGACCTGCTTCAGATGTTCATTAAGATTTAATAAAGAGGGCAGGACCTCCAAGCAAAACTGGCACGTGTGAGCCTGCTCCGGCTTGTCGAGATGCATGGTCCGTAGGTGAATCTGAAGCACAGCTAAACTGGAGAACACTTGCTTGTTGCAGTACGTGCAACTGTAAGAAACCTTCGGCTGCTTGGCAGCTCGACCCCCAATGTCCGATGCGTTATGAGCAGCCCTCTTCCTCCTGCCCCGAGTCTTGGGGACTGGCGGCGCTGTTTCCACCATTGTTGAACTGTCGACAGAGAGGTTAGAGTCGGGAGTGGTGCTCGAGACCGAAGTGTAGCCCACAGTCAGCAAGGAAGGGCTGTTACTATGGTTACTAGATTCAGGGAGCTGGTGGATGTCCATGTGAGCGTAGAGGTCTTCAACAGACAAAAAGTGCTCGGAGCAAATAGCACACGAGTGGCTCTTCCGGTCCCGGCTGTGGGCCTGGTCGATGTGGGTCAGCAGGGCACCTTCGTCGCTGAAGGGCTCATGGCAGTAGATGCATTGAAGGGTGGCACCCAGCCCTCCGTCCTCCGATGGGGAGCACTCAGGGTGGCACTCGGCTATGTGCCTTTGAAGGTCTTCCGGGACATCGAAGCCTTCCTCACAACGGCTGCACTTGCGCGTCTCTTTCAGCTTCCAGTCGTCAACTCTACCGAGGCTCGTGCCGCCGCCCTCTTTGCCCCTTTCGTGCACTTGCATGTGGCCGTGCAGGGAGCTGGAGGAGAGGAAGCCTCGCCGGCACACGGGGCACTTGTGTGGTTTATTGGAGGCGTGAGTTTTCATGTGGATTTTCAGGTGGTCGCTGCGGGAGAAGGCCGAGTCGCATTCGCCGCAGTGGTACTTCTTGTCACCGGTGTGCAGCTTGACGTGCCGGTCGCGGCTGCGCTTGTGCTTGAACAGACGGCTGCAGAAGGTGCAGCTGAAGGGAAGCTTGTCGCCGTGGCTCTGCTCGTGACGTTTGAGGAAGCTTAGGCGGCTGAAAGACTTGTTGCAGAATTGGCACGGGTACGGCAGGCCTGGTCCTCCTTCGTCCTCTCCGAAATCATAGTCCTCACAGTGGCCCGGAGACGTCTGATCCTTACTGGAGGGAGATGACGCCGGCCAAGAACATGACGGGTCGTCCTCGATGTCTGCAACGTCTGAAAAGGAAATAAAAAGAAAAAGAAAAGTGGCTGTCAGTGAGGGTATGGGGGGTGGGGGGGGGGGAATACACGTCTTTATGTCAGCAACCCATTTGTCTCATTCATTGGCTTATACACTAAATGCCGGCTCACTATTGCGCTGTCGATCATGCTAACTGTAAGTTGGATGTGAATTCTTTTGTTTTTTAAATGAAATCGAACAATGCCTCCCTGTAGGTGTTATCTAAAAAGTTACTGTAAAGCACAGAATTGAAAGTATAATTAGAGATGATAATAAGAAGAAATACTTTTACCACAATTAACCTTGTATGTGGCCATGTAATGGCTTAGCCCACTGTGACTCATAACACAATCCCTCTGACATTTAAAGCCAAAGCAAGACAGTGGGTGTACTTGAGGATGTAAGCCTGGCATGAGGTAAATTAGAACATTTCTATTATTACTGAACAGCTAAAAGACGATAAAAAAAAAAAAAAAGAAAAACAAGAGTCCTTGAAACAACTTTAAAGCCAGATGAAAAACAAGGAAAAAAAATCAACAATGGTGGTGGTGGTGGGAGAGAAGATTAAACGTGCAATTTCAAGCATAGCCATACATAGCCTTTAGGAAGCCTCCGCCGCAAGACAAATGATTTTCATGAAAAGTTTAGTGTTCAGATCATCAGTCAATACATATCCCATTATTGAATGAACATTATTATCATATTTATCAGAATGCAAAGCTACGAGGCAAGTGATAATGTTTGAAGGACTGCGCGTTTCGCGGAGGGGGAAAACAAGGGAGCTTCTGTCTAATGACATGTCAAAGAGGTTATAATAGCTATTTGCATTCAGGGGCTTTGTGGGGGGGGAGGTCTTGGACTTTCATGCCAAAGTCAAGGCTGAGGAAGGACTCCCTTCAGTTTCTGAAAATGCTGCAGAGCCCCTGTTGCTGCTGAAGTTTGTTTCCATATTTTCGAGATCTCTCTTCGATGGTGGCATAAAACTGCCAGGAGTTGGCAAAAGGTCACAAAGGTTCCCAAACAGTGGCAAATAGTTGCTGATCTTGGCAATACTGTTCAAAACAGTGGCTAATAGTCACCATCTGTCTTTTGTCAAACACTTTCCCGAACACTCGCGTGAATGGTCATAACTGTCTCGAAGCACCGCTAAAAATCGCTAATGACAGATGATTTTCACCAGCATTCATCAGAAAACTTGGCGAATCCAACATTCGCTACATTACCAAGCATTCGACGCTAAGTGGCACACCACCTTTATGTGTTTTGAAACTGACTGGCACCCACTTTCAAGGTGTAGTCCGCTTTTGGCCCAAAGTCAGCTGCGATAAGCTCCAACACACCGCGATCGTGAACAGGAAAAGCGCTCATGAAAATGGATGGATGGATGAATTATTTTCGAGAACAACGCCACGTTTTGCCATTGTTGCAACTGACTTTCCTCAGGCTTCTGATTGGCTAAAATGACTTTACAGTTAGAATTACTGCACCATCTGTTGCGTGGGCATTTACTGTATGTTTCTGGGGGGAAATGACTCCTTGAAAATCCCCGTGTGCCTAGCCTCACTCATTCAAGGGCAAGCAGGTGCGGAGAATCACCGGGGACGCCAACAAGACTGCTCCCAAATGTGTTACAAATACTTGGCGGTCCCCTAATGTGCCAACGTGCTGACTTCCAGCACGGTTGCATTGTGCAGTAACACGAGTGGAAAACACCACTTCCACAAGTTCAAGAGGTTACAGGCCACTTCTTCCTGCTGTCCCATTCCAAGTGCTCTCGACTTCCTTACCTAAGTCAAACAGTGTAATCCCAAGCCTTTCAGAAAAAGCGACGTCAATAGGCCAACACTGAGAAATGGACAAACAAGAGGAAACTGAGAAGATTTATGAAGGAAAGGGTTTTTGCAAGAGCCAACCTGGAAAGAGTTTGAGCTGACAAATCCAAGTGTCTCCTCGTCTTCCCCTTGCTGTTGTTTTGACAACGTGATCTGCCCTTCATCAGGATATCATGCCCTCTCCGAGCACTTGCCCCCCACCCCCACACCCCATCAGGGCCTATCTTCAGGAAACAGGCGCAGTCAGAGGAGGACATTCCCTTGTCCCCACCCCCCACCGTAAAGTGCTGAAAGCACCACGTCGAGAGCCCACCTCCACACGGCGGCCCCCGTGAGCACCCCCCCCCCACCCGCTGGCGAGGCGCCCACTCGACGCATCTCTCTCAAGGTGCAAACCTCGCTTGGTTTGCCAGCCAGCATCGGCGCCTCTCTCTTTGCTTTGCGGGAGGGCGGCTGACTCAGTGCGATGCCCTCCTCCGCAGAGGGGGCGGCTTTGCCCTCGCTACCTCTGCCATGGAGACAGCGTATGAAGAATGACCCTCGCCGATGCCTTACAGTCAAACGTATTGGCGTGAAGACAACGCGATAAAACAAACAAACAAATGGGCCCATATACAAGGTTAAATGAAATTCGACGACCCTAAACGAGGATGCATTTGCCTTGGGACACCGTCAAGCTGTCGTTTCATCGTTTGCTTATTTTCTTGATGTCAATTATTTATTTAGTACTGTTACTCCAAGGACACATAAATGTGAATTAAAAAAAAAAAACAGTCACTGGATTTTGTATTCAGCAAAGAGAATGAATGATCATGTTTTGCTATTAGTTCATCAAGTCAGTTTCTGGCATATCAAAGCAAGACAGGGAGATATTTGTCACTCAAAGTGAGAAAAATTTACCTCTGAAGTCAAACACCCTGACGGGGTACAATTCAGACTCTGGTCTCATTTTTGCATTCAAATTTGCCTTGGAATCGTGCAGTGGAGAATTTGAAGAGGATTTATGAGGAAAAACTAAAAAATGCTTCTAAAGTCAAGGAATTCAAACCCACGTCAACCTCACAGTGCACAGGTTGACTCTAGCTCCAGCCTTCCTGTGTGGAGTTGTTCTCCATGTTCTCTCCGTGCATGCGTGGGTTTTCTCCAGGTATTCTGGTTTCCTCCCACATTCCAAAACAATGCATGTCAGGCTATTGGAAAACTCTAAATTGTCGCTCAGTGTAATTGTGAGTACAAATGATTGTTTGTCTATGTGTGTCCTGCGATTGGCTGGCAACCAGTTCAGGGTGTCCCCAGCCTACTGCCCGAAGACACCTGGGATAGGCTCCAGGTGTGAGGATAAAGCGGATGACAAAATGGATGGATGGAGTTAATGAAATACCCCTGAGTTCGTAGGATGAGTAATTCTAACACATTTTCAAATAATTCACCTGAAAGCGAAACACCTCAGGGATTATACAATCCCCCGACCGAAATTATAAGCAAAAAAATTATCTCGAATGCACCATGCTTATGAAGGCGTACAGTTCGGAAAGGGAATAGTCATTGAAAACATGCCTCGAAAAGTCGCGTGTGTGTGTGTGTGTGTGTGTGTGTGTGTGTGTGTATATATATATATATATATATATGTGTGTGTGTGTGTGTGTGTGTGTGTGTATATATGTATATATACTTTCTTTATTTTTGGGTGAAGGTTGATTCTCTCGCTCTCTCCCACACATACACAGAAAACAGAGATGGAAGTCCAATGGCCAAAACAAGTATGTGAACAACCGTGGATGAAAGCGCAATCCTTCCTCAGGAGACCGGCAGAGGAAAGAGAGAGACAGACTTGTTTTTTTTTTTTCCCCCTTCTTCACCCTGACAAGAAATGCCCAGGCCTCAGCAGCAGCCTGAGTAAATAAAAGAACGGGCCTTACTTCCCAGTCTCTCGGGCCGGGGGCCTGTGCACGCCAGCGCTCTCTGTGCTGCTGCCAAAGGGGATGCTGGGGCCTGAAAAACTACACCCTGCAGCTGAAGGGCTGTCTTTGTTGGACTGCCAAGGCCTTCCTGAGCATCCTTCAGCCAACAGCCTGTCACATCCTGGGAGGAAGACCTCCATCTTAAGGCCTGTCCCTCTTTGGGAGTTGTGTCCCTACCCCTTCAACGCCAGCACCACCTCCCACTCACGCCGTTAAATGTCTCTCATATGGAACAAAACAACCTCAGCCGCAGGGAGTGTGCCATAGTCGTACATTAGCTGGGGACATGAGATCTTAGCTTTTATTGACGTGACTGAATAAACAAGCACAGCAACTAGAAAGGCATTCAGTCGTGCACAGACCTCCACCAAGGTGCAAAGATTTTGGCATGTGGCAACACAAAGGAAACCAAGCACTAAATATTTGTATTCTTGAGGCACAAATGTGAAACTGCATTCGTTCAAGTCTCAAAGTGAAACAAGAAAATGCCATCCGCACTAAAGGCTCAGGTACCATCCATCCATTATCCGAACGGCTTATCCTCATCACAAACAGAAGACGTGGCGCAATATAACATAAAGCAAAATGGGACAATTTAATGATGGGGCTATTGACAGAAAACAGTAAAGCGAGAATGTATATTCTAGCCACGTTTTCAATCCAATATCGGCAAATATTAAATGGCTTCTTGCTACGCATGCGCCACCTAAGTCGAGTGTCCCTGATTTCATACAACCAGAATCCAACCGAGACCCTTGGGAATGTACTTGTGGAAATGCAAACAAAATACATTTGGAAAAAAAAAAGTCCGTGAAAGACAAATATCTCTGGTCTGGTCTTTCAATTTGGAATTCAACTCAAATATTCAGGGAGCAAAATGTCTTTTAGAGGATGCCTCTAAAGCCAAATGTCCCTTATTTCATTCAACTTGGATATCCATGAAAATAATATCCCGTCCCTCAAGATTTGAATGCCAATGAAGTTGAACGATTTGGCCAACATTTTCAGGAAAAAAAAATATGCCTGGATATGCAGTTTGGAATTCAATCAAGATGTTCAGTTATGAACTACCCTGAGCTTGTACAACTTAGAATTTAACCAACATATCATTGAAAAATATGCCATGCTTGACTCCTTGTGCCATCTCAGCATACCTCACAAACCGCGGCCACGTAAAGGTTAACCCTTTAATAGATATTTTTT